AGAGAGAGAGAGAGAGAGAGAGAGAGAGAGAGAGAGAGAGAGAGAGAGAGAGAGAGAGAGAGAGAGAGAGAGAGAGAGAGAGGCAAGCGCATTCAGAGAGTGAGAGTGAGCGATCCAAGTGAGGAAAGTGAGTGGTACAAATGAAGAGAGATTGAGGCGGATAGAGAGGAGAGAGAGAGCATACTTACCTGAGTGAGAGTGATGACCTGGCAGCCATAGCTGCCTGTATTATGAGTTTGGAACGTGAACAATTTCTGGCTGGGGAGTAATAATCTGGGACTTTCAGCGGATATGAATCTCGTTTCTCTGTTGTTGAGTGTTTCTGTGTGAACATCAGTGACCTGCTTGATTGCGGATTGAAGTATAAGTTGAGTTGTATCATTGCAATTTATGTGCTCTACTGACTATCTCAACCAATCAACTAATCCCCTTCCAGAGTAGACACTCACCTTTTTGACCCCACCCATCACTCTCCCCTAACCCCTTGAGTCTACCCTGCCACCCCCGAGACTACAACCCCCTAACGGTCTCTGCTCTTGCCAGGCTAGATTCATCCTGGCATCACCTACCATCTACAATGATGCCTTTTGAGCAATTGGCCCTCAACTCATACTCCCCTCATCAAATGGAATGGCCACTCCCCCAACCCACCCATGCCTGCCCCCTAACCCCCTGACTGTACCCTGCCACCCCAGGGACTACCATTCCTTAATGGTCTCCCCTCATCAGAGTAGGACATTCCCTATCTGCTCTCAGAAGGTTAGATTCATCGTGGCATCACCTCCCATCTGCAATGATGTCCTTGCTCCGATTGCCGCCGGATCTTCGCAGTCAGCCTTTTTGTCCGCAGCCTGCGGCGGTTTCCCTCTCTATCCACGAGGAGTAATTTGCCCTCAACTATGTACTCCCCCGATCCAATGGAGTGGCCACCCCCCCACTAATTTGCCCTCAACTTTGTTCTCCCCCGATCCAATGGAGTGGCCACCCCACTCCCCCTTCCTCTAGAATAGGTTATCTCATGACGAATCCCTTCCTCTGAGCTGCCACGACTTGTCCACCATGGGACTGCCTAACAACACCTGGGTATACAAGTGCAATGGAGGGCATTGATCAGTATCAAGCCGACAATGGAAAATTAAACTAATAAAATGTCATTGACATAGACGACAGGGACATTGAAGGAATTCTGCACGAGCAGCCACTTCAGCACTACAGTTCGGCCCTTTGGAGAAGCAAACTGCCAAAGGTATATTTTTTTCGGCTCAGTCTTCCAGCACTTGGCAATTTATGAGCTTTACTCACAATTGTGCATTTACTCACAGGTGTACATTAACTCAAACTTGTACATTGACTCACAGATGTACATTTACTCACAGGTGTACATTGACTCACAGGTGTACATTGACTCACACTTGTACATTTACTCACAGATTGACTAAAAAATGTACATTTACTCACAGATGCACATTTACTCACACTTGTAATGTGTGTGTGTGTGTGTGTGTGTGTGTGTGTGTGTGTGTGTGTGTGTGTGTGTGTGTGTGTGCTGTCTCTTATACACATCTAGATGTGTATAAGAGACAGGTGTACCCCATGTTGAACAAGGTTACTTTTGGTTTACTCGAAAAGGTTAATTTCTGGCTACTTCTCGGTCTCCTTTTGTCTACTCCAGGTGAGATGGAATGGAACATTTGTTTAATTTGAAGAAGCCTTTTCTCCTATCCATTTTTCCAAACCTTAATTGAGTACTTACAGGATAATATCAGGTAAGGCATCTAGTTCACAGTCAATTTTCAAGTACCTATCCCCACAGCGTGCTCAACTTCATCAATGTGGCGAGGGTTGTAACTGAGAGGCATAGTGCAGGAGTAGTTCGTAGAAGAATAATAAAAATGGATGGTTTCAGTGTGCTCTTGATGTTTGTCCTGTGTACTTTTACTGTTTATTTCGCAAAGTGCGCTCTTGTAGTTCTAGATTTGTGACAATATACAAAAAAACTAACAGAGGGCACTCTGCAAAACAAGTGAACAATAAAAAGGAGTCACAAACCTGTCCTTGCGTTGTTGAAGCAACCCCTTGTCTGTGGACCTGGTCCTGTCTCTTATACACATCTAGATGTGTATAAGAGACAGGAGGAGGAGGAGGAGGAGGAGGAGGAGGAGGAGGAGGAGGAGGAAGAAGAGGAGGAAAAAGGAGTAGGAAGAAGAAGAAGAACCTCACCTTCGGAAATGATGGCGTACGCAACTAGCTTGGAAGTCTAAATGATCAAGACAATGAGTGTACCCCATGTTGAACAAGGTTACTTTTGGTTTACTCGAAAAGGTTAATTTCTGGCTACTTCTCGGTCTCCTTTTGTCTACTCCAGGTGAGATGGAATGGAACATTTGTTTAATTTGAAGAAGCCTTTTCTCCTATCCATTTTTCCAAACCTTAATTGAGTACTTACAGGATAATATCAGGTAAGGCATCTAGTTCACAGTCAATTTTCAAGTACCTATCCCCACAGCGTGCTCAACTTCATCAATGTGGCGAGGGTTGTAACTGAGAGGCATAGTGCAGGAGTAGTTCGTAGAAGAATAATAAAAATGGATGGTTTCAGTGTGCTCTTGATGTTTGTCCTGTGTACTTTTACTGTTTATTTCGCAAAGTGCGCTCTTGTAGTTCTAGATTTGTGACAATATACAAAAAAACTAACAGAGGGCACTCTGCAAAACAAGTGAACAATAAAAAGGAGTCACAAACCTGTCCTTGCGTTGTTGAAGCAACCCCTTGTCTGTGGACCTTCTCACATACCTCTGCTGATTCCCCTCGATACAGGGGTTGAATCAACCCGTTGTCTGGTGTGCCCTTGCCTTGTTGAAGAAACCCCTTGTCTGGCGTGTCCTTGCCTTGTCGAATCAACCCCTGTTCTGTAGAGGTCACCATTCAGCCGCCTCTCTGATTCCTAACCTCTGATACCTGGACACACTCACCTTCCGCATACCTCTGCTAATTCCCCTTGATACAGGGGTTGAATCAACCCCTTGTCTGSTGTGTCCTTGCCTTGTCAAATCAACCCCTCGTCTGGCGTGTCCTTGCCTTGTCGAATCAACCCCTGTTCTGTGGAGGTCACTATTCAGCAGCCTCTCTGATTCCTAACCTCTGATACCTGGACACACTCATCTCCCGCATCTCTGGCTGTATCTCAGCCCACACCGTCTCAGGCTAACTTTATGTTCCCGCAGGCAAAGGTGCAACTCAAAACTATTCAGGCCCCACTTGGCCCCCTCACCAACTCCACTTCCACAGGGCCTCCTTGCCGAGTCCTGCACCCTTCTCCTCCCCCCTGCCCACAGCCGCCGAGAAGAACATCAGGGCAAAGGGTTTTGTATAGAAAACACCCTCTCTCATTGTTTGACTCTGATGGTGGTACAAGTGCCCTCTCTTGACCACTCGCGCTCTTGGCTACAAACACCACAGGTTCTCTCCTGAAAACAGTGCTCACAGGCAGCAACGCTTCCTTAGAGATCTACTGCTTCTTTGTAAATTGGGCATAAAGGAGGGTATTATAAGAAAGCGAAAATTGGGAAGAAAACGTACACGTCAGAGAGCGATAAATGTTTAAAATTTATAATTAGCGGATGAAATACTCCGCACTTAAAAAAAGAAAAAGAAAAAAAAAGGGGGGAGAAAAAAAAAGGGGGGAGAAAAAAAAATGGTGGCAAAATAGCAGTTGACTGCACAGATCCCGTTTGGGTTATACGAGGGAGAATGCCTCTCCTGCCAGTCAGGTGCGCATTCTCATGGGGCCACAAATTGCTGGATGGGTACCACGGTACTACTACCTTTTCTCTCGAAGAAAAGAAGAGAGGCTAGTAGGTTACCGCCATCAAACATAAACAGAGGGGTGCTCACTGACTCCTCTGCAAAATTAGACCGTACTCTCACTCGGACTTCTTCGGCGCAATCTGGCCGTGGTTGCAGCCGAATTCACCTCAGAAGCGCCTGTAGGAGCATGACTTTTCATACATCTTTCTCATTTTCACTATTCATTAAATACCGACATCTGCTAACCAGGTCGATTGGTACATTGGCAGGATCCTCCCTCGACGACATGGAATCGAACTGGTGACCTTGGTCATAAGACTCATAACAGCTGGACACCTTTACCACTGCAACCATGACGGGGTGTGTGAAAACCGAAGCCACGCTGGTCGTGACGTTCAGCTCATCCCACCCCTGCACAGTAGCAGCACTCCACACCCCCTCAACACATGACACCCATGAGGGCATACTCACACTAGGACTTTTCCGAGTGAGCTCTAGACGCGATTACAGTCAGATGCATCCAGGTCTGGTAGCAATTCCATTCATATACATTTAGGAAAGTGCTAGTGGGAGTATGCCCTGAGACCTTCAATAGGCTCGCCCACACATTCTCTCTGAATGAGCTCCCTATGCAGCCTCCACAATCCAGGTGAGCATCTCCTTTCCTGGCTGACAGCTGCGCTTGAAGGACTGATCGGTATGTGGCCTGGGTCCGTCAACAGCGACAAGGAATCGAACCCATGACCTTGACAATCCGGGTGAGCATCTCCTTTGCTGGCTGACCGCTGTGCTTGATGCAGTGATCGGTATGTTGCCCGGGTCCGTTGACAGCGACAAGGAATCGAACCCACAATCTCGACCATAACAGCCCAATGCGAGCCGTCAGCTGTGCAATGGCAATTATGAAGGAGCTGTATATTTTCATGAGAAAGAGATTTCACACAAAAGAACCTTTCTTTCCCCATAAAGGGATGTGTTCTTTTGGGGGGGGAGACTTTTTCCCGTTTCCCTTCCCCCCTCTGAAAAACGTGGCTGCACTTCTTGGAAGTTGCTGAATGCTCTAGATTTTGGGGTGAAATCGCTGCAAAGTGGCCAGTTGATGTGTCCTCCCCTATTTATTGCCAATAGGACCCTCTACTCGTCCGCCGAATGTCAAATGAGGAGTATTTCAGTGATGTCAAACCTGTCTGCTCTGACGAGAACACGCAACGGGTTATGCGCGAATACGGCGATCCAATGCGCAATAGCCAATGTTTCCTGAACCAAGGAGGAAACAATGCAATTCATCAGACGAGAGAGAACCAACGAAAAGCAACCAACTAACCAATGCTTCATTGTGTCACAGAGATGGACAATCAAAGACCGATACGGAAAGACGAAAAGACAGCCATTCTTTGGGATATTTTCCTTCTTTTTTTCGTTTTTCTTTTTTATAAACAGAACACAGCTTCTTCTATTCTGGGGAGCAACAGTGCGGTTCCTTTTCCACCGGCAAGTCAAGACAATACAAGGAATACTCACACACACTCCTCCCCATTACGGCTGAGAGGCCCAAGCAGGCGGCATTGATTACTTCCTGCGGGAAGTCAGCCTCATACTTAGGTAGTCACTGGAAACGCCCTCTGTCTCTGTTTGCCCCCCCCCCTATCGGTAGTGTCAGTGCTACACAGCCCTGGCTTCCCTGGATACCCAGGGGGGCTGGTTTCTGATCCTCTGGTGCAGTCAAACGACCGGCTTCGGACACAGTCTCCTAACTACCTTGGGGGCACTGTTACCTTACTCCTGTGCTTCCTCCGAGAGTGCATTGCTCTTATCCTATCCTTAAACCCTCAACCCTTGCCTTCTGCAGCTAATGGGGCTGAACCCAAAACCCTGCTTTCCTGTTCCGTATCGTCCAGACAGGGCTATGCCGTCTGTGCTCCCCACTCTCCCTCCCGAGCTCGTGCGCTTGCGCCTCTCATGCAGAGTTTATATTGAAGTCCAGGTCTTGTGAACGAACGGGCCCCTGAGAGGCGTCCGTGTCTGAGATTCTGCTTCCCAGATTCCAAACAAGCTTTGGCGGATCTCCCTCTATGTTGCCCAGTGTCCCTCATCCGAGGCGGTCCCTGTTGAATTTGTCTATGATGTCTTGTTTTTTAGTGGGGTCTTCCTTTATGCGCTTGAGAGCTTTGTGCCAGTCCAACCAAGTCGGCTTGATATTCCACCCTCAGGAGTTGGATAAGACTGTCCCATGCCTCTGCAATTGGGATGCTTCAAACCTCAACAGTCTCTTAACATTGTCTCTTCCAAACGATCCATAGCACGAAGGGGCAAAGTCGTCGGTAATGACTCTTCTGCCACTTGTGTCGGAGTGAAGGCTCTATCAGCCCCATAAGGTAGGCACACAGGTTGTCTGGCCACGAAGCGTCCGTGACCGAACTCCACAGCGTCTCTACCCTGGCCCACAGCTGCTGTGCGATCAGACACTGTTGGAGGCAGTGAGGTAAGTCCTCAGGAGTTCCTGTGTCGCAGGTTGCACAGACGTCCTTATTGAAGTCTTGCCTGGCTGGCGCTGACTGCCTCTTGCTCGGCCACTTGTTGACTGGAAGGGCGAGGTAGTAGATGAGCCATTGCATGGTTCTGATGCGGACGTTTCTGATGGAAAGCGGGATATGCCAGGAAGACACCGTTCGCCCTCCCATGGTTCCAGGAAGGTGCTTCTCCAATCGCTGCGTCAATATGTCCGTAGTGTTGACTGCTCTCCTCCTGAGTCTATAGCTGTTAAATGCTGAGCCTGCACACGGGCCCCGTTTTGGGGGCCCGACGGTTGCTGGGGGCCGGCCACCAGGCCGTGCCCCATCGAGGCCTGCGCCCTGTAGGCCCACACCCAGCCTTTGGGGTCGCAGAGTTCGATTTGAGGCAGCATTTATTTATTTATTTGCTGTTCTATTTTTGTCCGTTACAGGCGTTGTTCCGGACTTGCAGTTCGTCTGAACAGTCTTACGGTCTGTTTGCACAAAGGCCACGTTTTGGGCCTTCTCCGTTTGCAACCAGGCCGTTTCAGGCCAGGTTCGGGTTTGTCCAATAGCAGACACCTCCTGCCGCATCAGCAGGGAGGGCCTGGACGTCCGGTAGGGGCCCAGGCAGGCCGTTTTTAGGCCTGGCCCAGGAACAAGTCGTGGGCACAGCACCCAGGCCCAGCACTAATTATAGCCGGGCCAGCTCCTGGGCAGCACACAGTTCACGTAGCTCACTTCTTGGGCGACACGCTGCTTGAGCTGCGCTATACAGCACTGGGCTAGAGATAGAGATGTAGATAGGGAGACGGGCGGAGGCCATACATGCAGCGGCGGAGTACGTACCTGGGCGCCATAGCTGGGCTCCACGCCAGCGAACTGCAGCACAGCGGCACACCAGTGGTAATACCTGACGACGGCTCTGTTGCATACTCCAATGAGTATGGGCAGAACCAAGAATCAACCAATGTAGGATGAGTATAGATGCAACGGAAGTCTGATAAACGGACTGACTCAC